CTAAAACTGTTTCAGGAAGTAGACATGGTTAATAACCTCAAAGAAGTCAAGAATGTTATCAAGTTTCATTTGGGAGCATTGCTTTAGTGATTGTTCCAGGCATCAGTTGACACTGTCATATCCAGTTTTCTCAGTTTTCATTTTTTATATAGGAGTCTCTATGCTTGTTGAATGTTATTGAATGTTTGAATGTTATTGCAGTTTGTCTCCATCATTTCAAAAAACAAGAGACACATGGAAAACTGGAATTGCTAATCCTAGTGACAAATACGAACATTCCAACTTAGTAGAAATATTTAGATATTAGGTATGTCACAGCTTTAATCACAGTAAGATACCCAATAAAGGTAAACAGTAGGAACAGTTATTAACCACCACCTTTGAAGGTAGAATCATTCCTTCACACCATGAACCTGCCACTTTTTCAATGTTTAGTCTGTGATTCATAGACTTACCCAGTTTAGTCAATGATTCATCATTGTACTTGCTCACCTGAATACTCAGTGCTCTTGTTTCTCTCTCTCTCACTCTCAACTAGGAAAGCCCAACCCTATTTCACAAGTGAACCATGGAGTCAACAAAAGCTGGAGAAAAATCACAATCATTGAAAATACAAATGAACTGGGAAAATACAAATGAAGTGGGTTTTTGATACAAACCAAAATCCTATCTTATTTTCATAACGCTTTTTTTCCTGTCTCATATATTCTCCTTTTTTAAAAAAATCCCCAAACCTCCACTTCAAATCTCCGAACCATCACTCTCAGTTGATGACCCTGCTTCAAATTTCACTAAGAAACAAAGCATAGAAAGATGAGAAATCTCACCATTTCTCTCTCCTTATCCACCTACTCACCACTACCCGTATGTTGCACCTAACCTCCGGTTTGTAAGAATGAACTATTTGTACTCACGACTGGCTCTCAGTTGCATTTTTAATCCCAATCCTCTCTCCCACTCAAGGAAATCACTCCAGCAACTGTCCTCCTCACTCCTACTAGCTTTCCTTTTCTACTACACCATTCCCATCAACACACAATAATTTCTTCCCCTTGGCTACTGCTTCACTTTTCAACTCCCATTTAAAAGGAACCATCTCAAAAGTGGTTTATGCTTGCTGTCTCCACTTCTTCTTTCATTCTCTTTTGAATACATCCACTTAGCCTTTCACTTCTATGAGTCCAATGAAACTGTTCCTGTCAACTTCACCCATGGCTTCTGTGTTGCAAAATTATCATGTTTTGTGGTCAGTTTATTGGCCATTCCACCATCAACACCATTTAACACACCTCATGTTCTCTCTTTCTTGAAATACTTTCCATTACTTCTGAGACAAAACCCTCTCTTGATTCTCCAATTTCTCTCCTTTTTAGTGCCCTTTGCTTTTCTTCCTATGCCTCCCAATCTTTAAATATTCCAGGACTCAGTCCTCTTCATTTCTATGTATTTTCACTCTGATGCTATCTCATTTAGTCTTATGGCTGGGAATAATCAGCTTTTTGTTGAATGCTCCCATTTTAATCTCTAGTTCTGAAATTCCATACTCATTAACCCTATTCTACATCTCAACTTGGATGTCTGTTATATATCTCCAACCAAATATGTTCCAAACCATATTTCTAATTTCCTTCTTCTTCTCTCATTTTTTCCATGTTGGTTAATGATTCCTCCATCTCTCCAGTTACTCAGGTCAAACCAGACTTGAATCTTCGTTCACATTCTCTCAAGATCCATGTCTGACCCAATATTAAATATTTTTGTTCCTGACTTGCTCACCTCTACTGCTAATGCAACAGGGTGGTCCCCAGGAAAGGGGGAGGTTCCCTGCCCCACCCAAGGGAGGGTGGAGCTGAGCAGGAAGAGGAGGAGCTGCAGAAGAGACTGAGGAAGGAAGCAGGATGGAGCCAGGAGACCTGGAGGAGGCGCATGGAGCCTAGAGACATATGAAGAAACTGCACTTGTCTTTTGGTCGTGGACTGGGTGACACAGATGTGGGTCAGACCCGTGGGGAGGTGACCATGGCAGCTTTTATCTTGATGTTGATTTTGCTCTTTTCCTTCCGGGCTTGTCCGGTTGTTTGTGACCCTTTTCTGTGGGTCCCCACTGGAAGATGCTTTAGACTTGTAGCAGGCTTTGGGGCCTTGTTCTGGGCCGATCCCATTTGGATGGAGTTTTACCCACGAGGGGATGGGTAACTTTGGGTGCTTCATTTAGAAACTAGACTCTTTGCCTTACCTGTATTGTTTCCTAGTTTTATTAAAGTTTCTTCCCATTAAAGTCTCATATGTTTTGTGTTGATGCGGCGGATGGCAGAACCCATTTAGAATAGGCAGGTTTGCGGGGCTTGGGCTACCCCTCTTCCTGTCCTATAACACTAACATTCCAGTCTGAACCACCATCATTTCTTTCCTGAATTATTTGAACTGCCTCTCAGCTTAATCCTTGCCTCTCTACTTTTGTTGTCATCACAGCTGCCAAAATGAATGACACTTTAAGGAGATAAAGCAGATCATGTTACTTTTCAACTTAAAATTTTCCAATGACTTCTCATTTTCTCACAAATCAAAGTCTTTATGATGGCTGACAAGGTCTTATAAGAGGAATGTCCTGTGATATTACTTCTTTCAGAGTTTCCAGTTCTCCCTCCCTCTCTTACTGATTCCAATCCAGCATATACATGTAAAACATGCCAGAACTATAGTGCTAGTATTGATGACTGTACCTGAAGTGGAGAATCCTGTACTTCCTAAATATCAACAATATGTAAGTAAACTCTACCTCAAAAAAAGAAAAAATTTTAAAAAGACATGGGGAAATAAAGGATTTTTTAGCTTTGTTTTACTAGCTTTACTTCTCTCTCTCTGTGTGTACACACTATTTCTGAAAGCAGAGCATTACTTTAATAGCTAAATGTATCTTTATACTTTCACACATTTTAATGGCCTCTCTCTTATCCAATATGAGCCCTAAAATGTAGATGAAAACAAAATTTGTTCTCTACTGACAGTTCTTCAAACCAGACTAGGCAATAAATGCTGTAGAGATAACTTGTTAGCAATATAGAAAGGGGGAGAGGAAGCTAGGTACTTATAGTCCTTTCTTCAAAAACAAATCATTTGCCGGCCTCCCTTACGGCTCAGGGGTTCTAATCTCAGTGCTATCAAGCTATCGCCAGCCACTGAGCAGAATTTGGATCCCCGGCCAGGGAGCTAACCCACATGGCACAGCAGACCTCTCCTGTCTCGCCTGCTGCTCCCTACAACAGTGGCTTTCAGAAGATCCACCTGTTCTGCTCCCCGCTCTGTCTCTGGTGAATCATCTCACCCCATGCACCTCTGGCCTGCATCCCAGTTCTTGTATGCATAAATAAATAAAAATAAATCTTAAAACAAACAAAAACAATCATTTGATAAGAGAAGAGATAATTAAATGTAAATGATAATTTAGTAACAATTATATAAGAAAATATGATGAATATTGGGCCTCCCAGGTGGCACAAAGGGTTAAGACACAACCTATGAAGCGGTCCACAGCCTCTGCAGCACAAGTTCGATCCCCCAGCCGGTCAGCGAGCAACCCACATGTCACAGCGGACCTCTCGTGACTCGCCTGCTGCTCCCCTCAGCAGTGTACTTCAGTCAATCTGCCTTTTCTGTTCCCCACTCTCTCTCTGGTGAATCCTCTCACCCCCCACACCTCTGGCCTGTACCTCAGCTCTTGTATGCATAAATAAATAAACCTTAAAAAAAAGAAAATTGATGAATATTGTATATTGTTAATTTGGTAGTTTGGAAAGCCAAACAGCAATCAAATCATATAGCATGAAGGAGAAAGTAATAGACTTGTCTTATAAAAATGCAAAACTTCAAAACTATCTTTAAAAGTACTATAATTAAAGTTAGAATATATCTTACAAGATGAAAATACATTTATCTGTTTGAGACAGGTTAATATCATAAATATACAAATTACAAAATTACAAATCAATGATCACAAATAACTACCTCAACAGAAAAAAATGGAGCAAAGCATAAGAAACAGGTAATTCACAGAAAAAAAGAAAGTTAATATAAATTATACTTAACCTCTAACCTAATCAAAGATGAAAAGAAAAACAATGAGTTGCATTTTCTGAAACTATTCATTTGGAAAAGATTAAAAGGATGACTTTATTCAACAAGCAGCCTCATATCTGGAGGGGTTATAAATCGGTCCTAAGCATTTCTGAGCTCATTTTAGAAACAGATATCAAAATTTTTAAAGTGCATAGTTTTAATCCAGATATTCCAGTATTAGGTATTTATCTAAACATATAATCAGACAAATTTTTAAAACTGTATATAGAAGAATTTCCACTGTAGTGTTATTGGTGATTATACAATATTGGAAATAGCCTAAATTTAACAGTTAATTTAACATAGCTTTGTTTAAATTAATTTTTGGTACATTCATACAGTGGAGTTCATACAGGTACTAAAAATGTTCCATGGTAGGCCATTAAGTGAAAAAAAAATGCAAGATTCAAAAATATTGTATATGTAAGTCCCACTTTTAGTTAGGATTTCAAATGACTTTTACTCAGGTATCTTTATAGATTTTTATATTGTTTGAGTTCCCTATATGTGAGCTATCTTCAAAAAACGTATAAAACAATAAATATATTTTCATTAAAAAAAAACAGGTGCAGTATTAAGACATACTGAGGGACACCTCTGCCCAATAGGGAACTTAAAATCCTTACTTGTGGTTTTAGAACAGTCTAGTGGAAATGGTGGTCAGAGAGCCATTCAATGGTGAATGCTCGGTTCAATATATTCTACAGATAGTCAACACAGTAAGACAGTCTATATTTTTGGTAAATTCAATTAAACTACATGATGGTAGTATTTTATTTCATTTTGGCTAGACTATATAAAGTATAGTAACATAATTAAAAATAAAAATTTTCAGAAACCTTTTCCAAATATAATAAACTCAGACTAACAAAATAAAATCATTACCTATCTCCCTTTGGTTTTCTTTTTTGTAGTGTCTTCCCTTTGGGTCTTCTTTCGCTTCCTAAACAGGGACTCCCACCAGGTCCTGTTACCCGTATTGATTCAAGGCCTTTGGAAGATTTTTTAAATGTGAATTCCACTGGTTCTCCTTCTTTTAGGCTTCTAAATCCTTCCATGAATAATTTGCTCTGTAAAGAGCAGAGAGAGGGAGAGAGAAAGAGAGATCATGATTATCAATGTTTTTGTAAATTATCGCTATAATTTTATGATTAACATAGCAAGATATTCTCTGTTATCCATTACAAAGTATGAATTCTTTATTTGTTAATTTCAGTGAAATTTATGCCATTTTATATTTCCTGTTGCAATGCTGGCAGTGGGAGAATAAACTACTCCATTTTTAAAGGCAAACTACTCCATTTTTAAAGGCAACTAAGCAATACTTAAAAAAAAATGTTAATATGCATATTCTATGACCCACCAATTCCACTACAATGTCTCCTCTAAAGACATACTCACACAAGGGTTTTTTTTGTTTTTTGTTTTTTGTTTTTTAAAAAAGACCTATCAAGTCTCTACAGTGCTGTCTGGTAAAAAAAATTATAACAACCCTAATATCTATCAATAGGAATCTTATTAAATGAATTATAGTAGACCTATATATTGCAACATTTTGAGTCATTGAAAGACCTATATCTATTAATGTGGGAAGGAAAATTTATAATATTGTTTAAAAAATTAAGGAAAACAGTGTTTCCATCAAAATGCCATCTAGGTAAAGGATTTTTTAAAAAGATATGTTTTTATGTAGAGCTGGGGTCTGGAACAACAGAGTGCAAATTATAAACTGTAGTGTTTGCACTTTTCATAATTTGAAACAAATTCTCAAAATCTGAAAGATAGTTAATTTTGGGGGGAAAAGAAGTTTTCCTGATTGCAAAAATGTAATCTAGGTTACAAATATTAACTGGGTCTATGAATCTTACTCTTCTCATCGGTCAATATATCAATTTTAAATATACTATAATTAATTTAATCATTGGTTTATTATTTTTTAAAACCACTTGTGTACATTTTACAGATCTAATTTGAAATATCCATGTAGTTTTATCAAATTTGGGGCTGAAGGGAACAAAAATAAGCATGGTAGAAGATCAACCCCCGTTCTTTAAATAGCAATGCAGTTTTGAATGAGTGTTTTTATCTTTTTTCTGTTTATCTGCAAATTTAAGGGATTTGCGTCTTGTTTTGTGTACTTTCTAAGGAACAATGTTTCTGGGAAAAGGCTCCAGGTGGTAAAGTAAGCTTGTAAAATGCTGTATGCTGTTTCTGCTCAGTTGAGTCAGATGACATATAAAAGTTTCAGAAATTCTGGACCTACCTCTTACTCCCTTCCCCCAACAAAATAAAAATCTTGTTTAATTGTGTTTAACTCAGCAATTTCCTGACCTAATTGATCCCAGAGTCCTTTCTTTACTAGCTTACTTAGGGAAATATTGAACCAGAAAATCTTTACTCTTCCTGAGTCTATGATTTTAATGGCAGATAAATAATTACATATAACCAAATTATTACATGAAACAAACAATAAAAAAACACACTTCTAAATCCAGTGCCAAAAGAAAAATTCTTTATGAAAGTAATAAGATACGTAACAACGGGATTTTTAATCTTCTCCTAGCGCAGTACATCAGACACTGCGGAATCCTTCACGCAGAGTTGCAGTTTGCCAGCACCATTTCTGCTGTCTGGTTCTCTGTAGAACTCGGGGGAAATCACAACTGCACACACTCTTTAAAATAAAAAATTATTGTTCTTAAGCTTTTTCCTTACATTTCCAAATCTTTTATTTTTTTCTCCTATACTTTCTCCTCACTATTTATAATAGGTCTTTTGCTTTCATTACCTCTCTCCCTCTCCATTCAAGTGCAGATTATCAAATCAAATGAAGTGGAGCCTACATCAACTATTGTTAAGAGAGAAGGGAGAGCTGCTTTAATTAGAGCTACAGTAACTTCATGCTATGTTTCTATAATAAAAATTCTATCACTTCTTTATTTTCTCATAGTTGCTAAGTACGGGTGTACTTTTACCAATTTAATTTTATCTTTCTTTCCATTATTATGATTTTTGATAGCTATCATTTATCATTTATTAATGATAATTTAGATTTAGTTCTTCCAAGTCTAAAGTAAAATTCTGGCTCTATGGACCACTAAGTTCTGGCCATTCTTCGTAAAATCCAGAAAGAATGCTTTCTTTTTTTATTCTATCATTTATTCCACCTTCTTGAAATTAGTATGCAAAGCAATTAAAATTTATAATACTTGAGAAAAGATATCTTTAAGAAACTATAATGACCTTGGAAGAAAAAGATAAGGATTACAGAGAATATTCTCTTTGTTATTACATCAAAATCACTGCTACCTAGTGGGAAAGGTTTACTGAATTGAAAATTAACTCATTATATTTCTTCACAAAAATCAACTTCCCTTTGTGACTTAACAATTTCTATTAAAGGTGTCTATTTTCCAGCCACACTGATTGCAATCCTAAGTTTTACTCAACCACTATCACATCCTGTCTATTTTTCACTTCATAATTTCTTTCATCTGTTCCAAACATTTTACTGAAGTATTGCTATCCTACTTCAGTACTTCAGATGCCACCTATCTCTTAATTGGAAAATAGGTTAAAGTTTCTTCGTCGATATTTCAGCATCAAGTCTCTTCCCTATTCGTGCAAGCTCCATATCTGCATATTCTGTCTGAACTAATCTTAGCCTGTTAGTCTCCTTTCTCAAAAATCGACAACCATATGATCCAGAAATTCCACTCCTACGCATCTATCCAAAAGCTGGAAAAACACTAATTTGAAGGGATAAATGCACTCTTATGTTCACTGTAGTACTATTTACAACATTGAAGTTATATAAACAATGTATGATGGGGGGATTAAGAAATGTGGTGTAGGGTCTTCACTGATGGCCTAGGGGTTAGGTTAGCACTATCACCATGACAGCATCACCGTGACAGCCTGATTTCAACCTGAATTCAATCCCGATCAGGAAGCTAACCCACATATAGCAGAGCAGGCCTCTCCTGTTTTGCTCGCTGCTCCCCTTAGCAGTGTATTTCAGTAAAATCTGCCTATTCTGCTCCCCACTGTCTCTGGTGAATCCTCACCCCTCACAGCTCTGACCTACACCCCAGTTCTTCTATACAAAAATTAAAAAACAATAAAATTTGAAAAAAAAAAAAGGAATGTTGTACACACACACACACACACACACACACACACACACACACACACACACGAATACTATTCAGTCCAAAAAAGGGGATGTGTGTGTAAAATCTTGCCATTTGCAACAACATGGATAGAACTGGAAGGGATCATGCTAAGTAAAGTAAGTCAGAAAGACAAATACTGGACAATTTCAGTCACGTGTAGAATATAAAGAAATAAAGTAAAGGTATAGAATAATCTATACCAAAACAAACCCTTGACATCTGACTGCAGAACTGAGGTTACCAGAGGGGGAGAGTAAGGTAGCAGACACAGGAGGGAGGGGTCACTGGCGCTTTGGAATTGGGCATGTTGTGCTTCCATGCATTTGAAAATGAATGTACCTATATACTTAAAACAGTGTTATAAATCAGTATTATCATAATAAAATAAATAATTTTTAAAATATTAAAATAAATTTAATAAAAATATTAAATACATAATAAAAATTGAAAAATCTACAATACCATTCTTAGGTTGTAGGTGTGCCCATTCATAATCCTACCTCCAGTTGTATTTTCTATGTCTTTCCAATTATAGCAGACCACAAGTTCATCATTAGTGAAACTGGCTGACTTTTACTTCCCCAAACACACTTTATGCTTTTTCATCTTAGTACTCCAGCTTAAGCTGGCGGGGTTGCACTCTCCTGTTCACAACTGTTTATCAAAATCAACCTCAAGATTCAACACACAATTACAATGATTCTTTACGCAATCATCCTCAAGTGCACCAAACTGGAAATTTCTTTCACTCGATTCCTTTAATATAGTTTTTACAAAACACTGCTGGGTAATGCAAATATCTGTGTATGCCTTACAATTTATTTGCCCTTTTGGATTTACCTTCTCCTAAAAGCCAGGGATTATTGTATGTATCTTAGTATTACTCAAATGCTCAGCATTATGGCTAAAAATAATTATAATTCAACAATTTCTTAAAAAATTCCCTAAGGATTATTTAATCCAACTTCCACTTGAAAAGAAGGTAGACTGAACTCTAAGGGGTTAAATGTATCGTTCATGCAAAGTAAAAATTTCCAGCTTCTACTTCTCATATTTTTAGTCTCAAGATGACACTATTGGTAGTACATTTGAAATAAAATGCTGATAGGATTATAATGGTTCATAGAAATGACATAAGGTTTAACTTCATTCAGAAGTTAATATGGATCTCTTTTCCTTGTTCTTCCTTATTTTACCCATATTCTTGAATTAGTTCCATTGAAATGCCTCACAATCTATGATGCTCTGCTTACTCAAGCCAAAAATGCAGATTTCTATAGATAAAGTAGGATTTCTGGTGTTGGCCTACATTGTCATCTGTGTCATTTGTTTGAGCAAAATAGAGATTTATTCTTTATAAGAGATAAAATCACATTCTTCAATGAATAAATGAACAAAGGAATGACCAAATGAATGAGTAGGCATTTAGAAGTTGCTGACATTCCTATTAAGATAGCATGCACTTAACAATGGGCCAAGCTAATTGTGAATTTATGCATACTGTTAACTCATCTAACACATGATTGTGTTTCTCTTCCTCCAATCAAATAATATTCCTTTTTTCCCCACTCTCTACATCCCAAATTTTTAAAAATATTGTGGCATAAATTTATTTCAGAAATGTAAAAATACTAGCTTTCTATTTCCTTGTAATTTTTCCCTTTCTTCCCCTGTATCATTTAGAAAATGACTCTTAAAGAATAACAGGCGGGCCTCCCCGGTGGAACAGCGGTTGAGTGCTGGGTTGCGAAGCTGCCTGCAGCCTCTGCAGCGCCGGTTTGATCCCCGGCTGCTCCCAGGCCACCAGAGGAGGATCCCACATGGCGCGCAGACCTCTCCTGCCTCCCGCTGCTCCCCTCAGCAGTGTACTTCGGTCCTTCTGCCTGCTCTGCTCC